GGCTCGGGCTTGACAGGGCCGTCGCTGCTTTCTGCGAGGGGAGGGAGGGTGCGAAGAAGCCCCGCGGGGCCGCCGCGGAGCTGCCGTGGCGCAGGGGGAGCGGCGCGGGCATCCCGGTGTCACCCGTGTCTTTTGCAGGGCCGTGTAGCCTCCAGTAGCCGCCCATCGATTTGAAGGAAGCTGGAGTGAATTTCACCTCAGGCAGCATCACCCGGGATAAAGAACATTTACTTTTGCTTTAACATAATTTAAGAAATCAGTAAGCAGGGTGGGGTTTTTTTCTTTTTTTTTTTTTCCTCCTTTAAAATGCTATTACTACTAGACAATGAAAAGGCTGAACATTGCCCTTCTCTTTCTGAATGGCTAATTACGCTTTTGTAAAATGACTTCAAATGTTTTTCAGATTATTGTGCAAACGACCTAGAGTTGGATGACACTTCTCTTTACATTTTTGTGGATTTCAGTCTGTTTTATTCAACAGCAAAACACTTTAAGAATCACAGCTATTTCAACTTTTTACAGTAATAACTTGTATTTCCAAACTTAGGGTTTATAGATCTCTTCAAACACCAGGGAATTTTTCTACCAGGACAGTACAATTCAGTTTGTATTTATTGTCCTGAAATTGCATGGAGCATTTTCGGGAGCTGTTAGTCTATGTATGTACACTAAATTTCGAGCTCTTGGTTTGTTTTGCTTGGACTGTTTACTTAAATTAGCTGAGAGAACTGCATTTTTAATATCAGTTCTAAGGAATAATCTGTTTCATTTGTTTCCTACCTACTGTGCTAAGGCAGATGGTTTTCATGTCAGCAGAAATACTGTTTCAAGCTATGAATTATGAAAAATATTTTTTTAAATGAAAAATTAAAATTACGTGCAGAGTTTCAGGAAAGTTCCTGATAAAGTTTGCTTACTCACTCTAGAAAATAACTGATAATTTTCCTTTGTAGTTTTCTTAAAGATTACTAAAAACGTTTTTATTTTTGCTTTACACTTTTTTCATGGCTGTATTTAATTTCAGGAATATCCCAGGAACACTTTAGATCTTTATTTGTCAGGCAGCAGCAGGAGCAGCTGCTGGGTGAGGGCAGGCAAGCCCAGAGCTGAGGGTAATGGTGAGGTGCAGGGCAGTGCTCTCCCCAACACAGCACAGTCCCACAGCGCCCAGCCGGCAGAGCAGAGTGGGGACAGGGATGGTGACCGGGGTCCACCACAGCCAAGGGATGGCCAGACAAGCCCGCAGCAATGGGCAGATCTGAGGTGACTCTGGAAGGCAAGTCAGCAAAATCAGGAGCAGCGAGGTGCGGTGCTGAGCACAGGCACAGCTACAGCATTGCTCAGACAGGGCCCAGGGGCATGGCCCTGAGCTAAAACGCTGCCCCTGAGCTGAGGGCACAGGCCCCCAGCACAGCATCTCATGGCTCTGTCTTGTAGCAGCCTTGACCCCAGGTTATGGCTGCACCATGTCAGAGCTGGCCTTGAGGACAGGCAGCCAAACCCTTGGGGAAGAGGGGAGGAAGTTGCGGGACCTGTTGCTCCACTCAGAGCCCTGAAAACATTTTCTTCATTACACTTCTGTAATTACACTTTTCTTCATTATTTACTTACTGTAATAGAATTAATGTGAAGAAATCACAGTGAAACATTTTATTTTTAATACCTGAAAAGTTTCAAATATAATTTCTTCTAATTGAAATACTGGTTTAAGATTTTTTTTTAAATAGTGAAATTTAGGATGATTTAAAGTATTATGTACTAGAAATATTTTTTCATGTAACTGCCAGCAAGTTTCCATTTGTTCATCTGGAGCAACTGAAGTGAACTTTTCAGCCATATTCCCAGTGCATACATTTTAATTTCCTCCCTGTCTCTCAGTGGTAATCAGTTATTCAGAAATTTAACTTCCATCTGTCATGCCCAAATAGAATTGGGGGAGGGGAGCAACTTAAAAATATACAGAAAAATAATTTTAAAATTACATATCAACATTTTCAAAGCTTTTTAGAAGGACAATTCCCACTGCCATTAGCCAGAGTTGTGTTTCTAACTCCCTGATGTGCCTTTAAATATGTCATTCACTATATTAAAAAAATCCCATATCAAATTGTTGACATTTTCTATTCGCTTTTGCTCATCCACATCATCTCTTGACTAGAGCTTGTCTTACAAGACCCAAAACTTTTACTTGTTGACTTTAAAGAACATGTTTTACAAATTATGATAGCCAGCAAAAAAAAAGGAAACTACTTTCAAATTAGTTTATAGATTAAAATTAATGGAAAGCTATAAGCACATTTCTGCAGAAAAAAAGGAGGTAGATCAGGGCAGGGACACAACAGGGTATGACCAAATGTCAAGACAAGGTACAACATTGATATTTGTATACAGACAAGGGGAATTAGCTAGGAAGATACCCACTGTCACAACTAGCTGGTAACGAGAGAGTATAGGGAAAGCCAAGTAATGATGCAGGGTATGGATCTACTATACTAATGAAGTATAGTACATTATACTATACTTCAATAGCATGCCTCTTGCTCAGCGTGGTCCTGGGATGCATGCACCAAGGTGAGATTAACAGCTCCAGTAGAAAAATTGGAAGAAATAGTGTAAAGAGAAATGTTGGTATGTCAATATCTGCAATTCTGAATTTATTTTCCGCTTTTTCTCTTTTATGTTGCATCGCAACACATTATTCACAGGTATCCTGTCACCAACAGAGTATATGCCACAGATATTCCTGTTTTGGAGAGAACCATGGAAAGTGAGTCTTGTCATACTAGATGTCTTTTGTCACTGGTGTGGGCTTTACATGAAGTTGTCAAGCTCTTGTCAATAATATTTGTGAAGCACATACCTATTTTAACAGTCTTTACTGAAAGGGAGGAAACATTAATTCTGTTAACAAATCCATTCCACCTCCAAATTGTAATATGAGATTTTAAAGAAGTCCTAAGTAATGCAAAATGCTTTTAGTCTAATTATCATTCTGAGAATTTGGTACTTTTCTAATAATAAATCAATAATATACAATTCAATATAGCATAGTTCCAGAGCAAAATACAAGAAGTGGTGTTAACGGAGTAGCATAACTGAGTTGTAATTTAAGTGGAAATTATTATATACCTACTGGTTATCCTTCCTAGATATTTGTCACTTGAATTCTTCAAGATGTGTTATTTTTGTAGTGTAATATGTAATGGTAGGTAAAAGGTAAGTGCGTTTGTGTATTTAATTTTAAATACAGTTTTTATTTACAGGATATATTCACACCTTACCTTTCAATCTCAGATGACAAATTTGAACATTTTGTTGCAGTAGGCTCAGTGTAGCTCTCATAAACACTCTCATTTCTTTAGCATAGAAATCACATGGGTTTAGTAATATTTATGTGATGGATTCATAGCAGCTCTATAATAGTTTAATAATTACATTCTGTGTGTTAGTTTGGATGTTTATGAATACACCAGCTTAATTTACAGAAGCTCTGTTAGAAGTGACAAACAGAAAGGAAAAGGAATAGCTCAGTATAAGCCATCCATCAACAAATATGCAGAAGTCACTGAGAGACAATAAAACCTACAAAAAAATCCCTCAGACATAAGCAATAAGAGAAG